CGCGACCGGCTCCCCAGCTTGGGCCCCGGGTTTCCCCTCCCCCCCACTGCTGCCGCCGGCCCGGCGAAAAACCGCCAGCCAATCGGCGTTGAGGGGACTGTAACTAGCAGGTGGCCCAGCCAATAGTTTTGCGGGGCAGGAGGGTTTACTAGGCGGCTCGTGGTTCCACCCCTTCCAAAAAAAAAAACCCGCTGGAGGCGGGTGGAGTTACTTCTGGCCAATCAAAGGGCAGAGAGTGATAGACTGACATTTAGATTCACCAATGGTCAGCGAGAGGCCGCGTAATTGGTTAGAATTCAGAGTTTGCCCCCGTCTTTGGAAAGCCGCCTTGCTTCCGCCCTTTCTGAAGCGATACAGGTTTGTGCGCAAGCGGAAAAGGCGCCGCGTCGGCCCTTTTTCTAAGCGTGGAGACTGTAGGAGTCTTCCGCCGCGTGAACCTTTTTATCCCCCGCTGTCAGCGTCTCTACTGTTCTGGGTGCAGCAATGAAATGAGTCCCCCCCGAAGAGCGCTCTGTTCCCGTAATGACGCGTGTAGAAGCCAGCCGCGTTTGTGACACGTAGAATAGCGAATAGGTACAATGATAATCCGCACAGAGCGTTTAATAGCCATAGTGGTAGAGATGTAGCCGTGTTAGTCTGGGGTAGCTGAAGCAAAATGCAGGACAATGTAGCACTTTAAAGACTAACAAGATGGTTTATTAGATGATGAGCTTTCGTGGGCCAGACCCACTTCCTCAGATCAAATAATGGAAGAAAATAGTCACAACCATATATACCAAAGGATACAATTTAAAAAAAAATGAACACACATGAAAAGGACAAATCACATTGCAGAACAGGAGGGGGATGGGGGGGGGGGAAGGAAGGTGAATGCCAGTGAGTTAATGATATTAGAGGTGGGGAAGGGGAAATGTCTGTGAGTTAATAGTATTAGAGGTGATAATTGGGGAAGCTATCTTTGTAATGTGTAAGATAATTGAATTTGAATGTCTTCCCGGTGCGGAGAGTGTCGAATTTTAGCATGAATGCCAGTTCACTTCCTTTGGGATGTCTGGCCTTCTTCCTGCTTTCTGAGGGCTCTGTCTCAAGGAACTGGTATATCAACAGCATGGAGTCCTGTGCAGCTGTACACACAACACATGCTGACAGCCAGAATTTCACACTGGGCGGCAATCTTATCCTGTCTCCCAGATCAAGCAATATTGTACCTGGATGGGAAGCTTCCAAGGAAAAGCCAAATGCTACAAAAATTGTATCCTTTGGTATATATGGTTGTGACTGTTTTCTTCCATTATTTGATCTGAGGAAGTGGGTCTGGCCCACGAAAGCTCATCATCTAATAAACCACCTTGTTAGTCTTTAATAGCCATGATCTACTGCTAATGTTAATGGGGAAGTGTTCAAATAAACAGGCTTGTTATTGTTACCCATGAACAGATGTGGATGCTCCGTAATAGTTCATAATAATGGTTAATAACTTAATAAATGTGGCAGGTATTAACGTCCTACGCTTTTCCTCTATCACTTATTACCAGTTTATTTGAGTATTTCCCGCATATTACTCTCTCTGGATTGTTATCCCGGGTTTTGCAGATTGGGAAAATTGAGGCTTGGAGAGGTTAAGGCTCTGATTTTGCAAACAATGGCCCAGGTAGACTGTTCCGCCTGCATGGGCCTGTGTGTGCATGCAGCATCACAAGCACCAGTGTGCAGCGCTGGGCATAGGGAAGTCTCTGTGGCTAAAGAATGGAAATGGGGTTGCCAGGGTCAACCCTCAGCTCTGCTAGGGACTGGCTGAGTGACGCCAAGGAAGAGGTTTCACCTACCTATGCCGCCTCCCCCTTGCGGGAAGACACCCCCCATTGAGTTACTAACATTGTGGATGGGGCTCTTCCCCCTCCTCAAGCCCTGAGCTGCCCTCAGAGCAAGCGGAACCTCGGTAAGCGGTGCCCTTGTTTCTGGAGGGGCCGGCCTGGCTGGTGCACACGTAGCACCTCCGGGTGGTTGCCGTGGTCCCGAGTGCCCGGCCTGCTCGTGAGCGGAGAGGCCTGTCGGGGACCTGGCTCTGCAACAGGCGAGGGGGCCCTGGAGCCACCCTAAGCCCCGTAAGTCGGGGAAGCAAGCTCAGCCCCGCCCCGGGTTCGGAGCTGCCTCCCCGGCGCCTCACCCGGGCTGCGCCCCTGCCCCCGGGGCCTTTCCTTCCTCCCGCAGGGGACATGGAGGTCGGGGAAATGGGCTGCGGGGGCCGAGGCGCCGCACGTGGAGGTGAAAGCCACGGGAGGACCCGGCTTCTCCCTTGTCCTGCATGGGAGGGCCCCTGCCACTCGCTCTCTGTGCTGCTGTGGGCAGAGGTTCACATTGCGGGCGGACTCCCCCACGGCCTGGGAGCTCCCCCCCGGGTTGTGTGCCACCGATGAGCCACCGTTGAGAAGCCGGTTTCCTTTTTAGGCTACAGTTATTAATGCAAACTCTCCTGGCTTTCCCAGGTCTCTGTCCAGCACCTTCTCTTGAAGCAGCTGCGTGAAGAGCATGGAGTCTGAGGATCAGACAGAGAAGATTAGCATCAGTGCTGAGAGCCCTAGAAGTGTTGACCTGGGGGAGCTGGGTGTAGGGCTGCTAAGCTCTGAGAAGAGCCATCCAGGCACCTGGAGGCAGAAATGTGCAGCCTATGTCCTGGCCCTGCGGCCCTGGAGCTTCAGTGCCTCTCTGACTCCTGTAGCTCTGGGCAGTGCCCTAGCCTATCGGTCCCAAGGATCCCTAGACCCAGGGCTGCTAGTGGGCAGTGCAGTGGCTGTCCTGGCAGTGCATGGAGCAGGCAACTTGGTTAATACCTACTATGACTTCTCAAAGGGTATTGACCACAAGAAGAGTGATGACCGGACATTGGTGGACCAGATCTTGGAGCCTCAGGATGTGGTTCGATTTGGGGTCTTCCTCTATACTCTGGGCTGTGTCTGTGCTGCCTGCCTCTACTGTCTCTCTACTCTCAAGCTGGAGCACCTGGCCCTGATTTACTTTGGTGGACTTTCCAGCTCTTTCCTTTATACTGGAGGTAAGGGTTGTACTCCATACTCTTAAGTCTCTGCAGAAATTGTGTGTGAAATGTATATCTGGTGTATGTCAGCTGGTTTGATTAATTATTTATGCTCTCTTCTCCATGGAGGGAGCCCAATGTGTACTATCAGTAGGGTTTGTTATTTGTTATTGGCCAGATCTAATTTCAAATGAAAAGTAAACTTAAGATATTTTTAAGGGACGTTTCAAGATAAAAAAAAGTTGATTTTGCCTCATCAGTTAAGCTATCTGGTAGATGAAGAGACATACCCTGTGTTTTGCTATAAGTAAGATTAGTTTCTAGGATTCACAGACTATCATTTGGAAGATGTAGCAGCTGTTACTCTACTCTCATTGTTGCATCAGCTCATGGACAGATTCTATCTGTATTCACATTGGGTAGCACTGTACTTCATGTGTAATCCCTTTGACTTCAGTAGGACTGCTTGTGGAATAAGGTATTCCAGATGGATAACTGGAATCTGCCCCTTAATCTTTGCTCACTGGTTGAGACTGGAAAATTGCAAAAATTGTATTTGCTTTATTATCTTTGGAAAGGGTAAAGGATAATCAATTCTGGGGCAATAAAAGAACGTGTGTAGCCCTGCCCTAGCTGTGTATTGGCTTTTACAGCAATTTTTAGGAGCTGATCTGTTTAAGAAACATCTGTTGTTCTCTGTAAAGTAAATTTTACTTGGTAACACTTGACACTTGTTTTCATCTTGTTTATTGCCACAGGAATTGGATTTAAATATGTTGCACTTGGCGACTTGGTGATCCTCATCACGTTTGGACCCCTGGCTGTTATGTTTGCCCATGCCGTGCAGGTTGGCTATCTGTCTGTCTCACCGCTGCTCTATGCTATCCCACTAGCCCTCAGCACGGAGGCCATCCTGCACAGCAACAACACTCGGGACATGGAATCTGACCAGCAAGCAGGCATTGTCACCCTGGCTATCCTCATTGGCCCCATGTTCTCCTACATGCTCTACAACACACTACTCTTCCTGCCCTACCTGATTTTTTGTGTCTTGGCCACACGCTATACCATCAGCATGGCACTACCACTACTTACCATTCCTATGGCCTTTTCGCTGGAGAGGCAGTTCCGGAGCCAGAGTTTCAGCAAACTTCCCCAGCGGACAGCCAAGCTCAATCTCTTGCTGGGGCTCTTCTATGTTTTTGGTATTCTGCTGGCACCACCAGGCACACTGCCCAAACTGTAACAGCTAGCGCTGCCTCGTGGCTTCAGTGTTAATGGCAGATCTCAGTTGGAAGTCGGAGGTTTGTTGTGGATGGTGGCCAGAGCAAGAAGGCTAGCTCAAGGCAGTGACCCCATGTGAATATTGTGGACTTTGGTCTTGTTGAGATAAACGGTTTCTCTCGTACTAGAGACTTCTAATGGTGTCTTGGAGAAGAGTTGAATTGACAACATGGGTCTTGTTTTCTCTTGGTGCTTATTGCAGTTCACCCTGAGAGCAGACAGATGTTTCAAGGACTTGCTGCTGCTGTCATTGAATTCAAAGGGACTTAACTTCAATGAGAGCAGGGCTGAGCTTCAAGTTTGAACTCTTCCTTCCCCTCCCAGGCACATTGAACCTTGATCTGTGAGTCATCCCCTCCCAACATGAAGCAAAGATTCAGTAGCTCCACTTCTACACTGTGCCACATGCAAATTGCCACTCAAAGCTTTAACTTGGTCAGCATTGCAATAAAGCAGATGCTGTTACTTCACTCCCTTCATTATAAATCTTCATCTCCACCACCCGGACTGTTTTCTCCCCCTTCCCCCCCCCCCCCAATTTCTGCTTAATCTTGATCTTGTATTTCCTAGTCTCATAGCAATGTGAAATAGGGCATGTGTATCCATCCAGAACTGCTGATTTATGGAAGACAGCAGTTTCTCATGCTCCCACTGCCAGATCTGCCAGTGCCTTTCTACCTAGGCATTTCTAAAGTATCCATTGCTGTGGTATATAGGTGCTGAAATGGAATATAACTGCTCCATTGCACTGAGCTTTAAGCCAAAAGTGAACTTCCACTCCCTCTTTAAGTAGCTAGGGGTCAGAAGTGCAAGTTATGCAGCTAAGAAGCTTATAAACACTTGGTGAGATGAAAAGTTCTCTTCTTGATGTTATGTTAGTCCCGTGCTCAGACCCTTCTGCCTAAGATGAAAAAGTCTTGGTGTTTAAACCCCTCCCCCCAAAACTGTCAGGCAGGGTAACAAAGCTCTGTAGACAGTTGGATATTGACTAACAGACACATGTTGTAGTTGCAAGTCTCTAGTAGCAAAGTGTTTTTTGTCATTCTCCATATCTGTCATCTACTTAAAGTTGCTTGTCATCCTATTGTAAGGCAAGCTGGAGGCAGCAAGGGAGAATGATGGGGGCATTGCAGGAAGGAGTCTAAATTTCTGCAGTGACTTTGTACAGAAATCAGGAGAGTACATTATTCTTGCTGATAGATTCTTCTTCTTGCTGATAGATTCTTCTTCTCTTTTCCAGTGTGGGGGGGAGCAATGTTTTGATGATGCTCCAGTGATTCACTGGTCAGTTTTGAAGTTCTAGATCACTCTGTAGGATTGTGTCCTTCTAGATATTCTACTTGCATATTGTGCCACTTCCACCCCTGTTGTCCTGTAACGGTACTAATGTAGCCCTTTGCATGAATGTTATTTTACACAACATATAATGATATGAAACACACAGTGCCAAGTACAGCTTGGAGACACTCTATTGATTTTATTAAGGCACAACAGAGTGTATTTGACTCTCACATTTTCCCATGGTCACTGAACCCTGTTCTTCATTGGGAAATATTATTTGTTCTCTGCGTGAAATGGCAAGTGTTGATGTAAAGACTTCCTTGAACTGTCCAGATTGAATTGATCTGGACCTTGTTCTACAACTCAGTGTCCAGGAGCACAGTGTCCCTGAGCCAGAGAGGAGAGTGTTAACCAGTGCCCCATAGCTTTTAGTTGCAATCAGTAAAGCCCAGCAGGCAGTGCAGCATTGCATCTCCACATCTGGTGTGTTACAGCAATGAGAGGTTATTCAGTTGAGAACAATGGCTGCTGTTCAGTGCTGCATGCAATGGAGGCATTATGACAACTATAAAATGGAACCAGCACAGAGATGTCTGTAGAGGTGGCATTCAAATGCTTTTGGGTGAATTAGCTCCTAGTTGTGATAGCTTCACAGCTGGACTCTCCTACTCAGAAGCAATCTCAGCAAGCTGGTGACAGCCTTGGATTCAGTTATTGAAACAGGGTGATGCTACATTTAGCAATACTTTTTCTGGGCAAATGTACACTTCCTTATTTTGGTGCTGGCATACAGCTCCAGTGATATGGAGATGAGGCTTTGTCAGAAAGCCACCTCTGTGTTCTGACAAGCAAATATTCTTTCAGACTGAGGAGAAGTGATGGTGAAACAAACCCCAGTGGTAGAGAGCTGTTTCCTAATAGAGCCCAGATCTGTGCTCCTGCAAAGTGGAACGGGTAGATCAGATTAATCCCAGAGTTGTATTGTTTGTAGAAACAAGAACAAGGCACAGCATGTATCTACTGAGGGTACGTCTAGACTACATGCCTCTGGCGACAGAGGCATGTAGATTAGGCTACCCGACAGAGTAAAATGAAGCGGCGATTTAAATAATCGCCGCTTTATTTAAATTTACATGGCTGCCGCGTTGAGCCGACAAACAGCTGATCAGCTGTTTGTCGGCTCAACGCGGCAGCCATGTAAATTTAAATAAAGCGGCGATTATTTAAATCGCCGCTTCATTTTACTCTGTCGGGTAGCCTAATCTACATGCCTCTGTCGCCAGAGGCATGTAGTCTAGACGTACCCTCAGTAGATACATGCTGTGCCTTGTTCTTGTTTGTTATAATGATAATGTAATATATCTAGCTCTTATATACCTGTTGTTTAATGTGGGTTGATGTGACTGTTTTTTATGCATATTGCTTCTCACAGGCAGAATGTAAATAAGAAATGTGTGTGGGGGGGGGGACACGACAGCCTAGGAAATGGCCCTCAGTGGAACAACAACACCCAATATTATGATGCTATGAAAGATCTCTTCCTTACCCAAAGAGAAAAGACTCCAGGTTAGAAAGGCTGCCTGCTAGTGGGAAAGACCAGTGCTGTTGCTACAGAGCTGGAGTGAGAGGTGACCAGTGCTGTTTCATGTGTTTGTACTGCTATTTTCTTGGGATCCCTAAGTGATTAGTAGTTCCTGATGAAGGGATTACTGGAAAGTGTGTCTAGACTACTTCCATTCATAAGTAGCAGCATACATAGCAAAGTCTTAGGGAAGTGAGGTGGTCTGTGTATGGCAGTGGTCCCCAACCTTTTGGGGCTGCCGGGAGCCTGGGGGCAGGGCCGCTCATGCGCTGCGCGTACGGGGGCGGGGCCACTCACAGGCCACATGACTGGGGGCGGGGCCAAGCATGTGCCGCACGCCCGAGGTCGGCACCGGCATGTACTACGATCCCGGGCAGGGGCTGCCCAGGATCCCCGGGGCCGGAGGTCAGGGTCAGGGTCAGCACGTGCGGCGCACCCGGGGCCGGGACCCGCCG